ACTTCGGGTAAGAACTTTACTCATGTAGTCGTGTCTTAATTTCTCTGTCCACGTATGTAAATCTGCTCTACAAATCGACTACCTTCCTATATATATATATATATATATATATATATATATGTATAGAAGGCAATACCTTACCTATATGTATTGTAATTACATTGACTCCTTAATGACAGAATGTATGATAATGTCATAGACATCATTTTCACAATATTTTTATATATGACTAGGCCTCCGTTCATCATCAACTAATGTTAATATGAATCAAGGTAGTCCAAAGAAAATTCATCTTGCCGGTGATTATATTTTAATACTTACCTTCAGAAATTTGATCCTGCTTGTCGGATCCTGGCTGAAGGTCTCTGATGCAAGTATGCTTATGTTGGCATTACTTAGCAATGTGTGCAGCCGCTCAGTTGCCTGAAATAAAAGTACGCAAAGCAATGTAACTGATAAGCCGTATTTTAGCGGTTATATAAAATGTACGATACATCTTCATATATATGAGATTATATATGATGTTATTGCTACCAAAATACGTTACTTATGGTTAGAACGAATCACAACAAACCATTTAGTGACACGTGTGTAGGACAAAGGCTTACCATTTGAAAAGTATTATCCATGGTTGAATGGATTATCGCCACTCTTTTCCACCCGAACTCAAGGATTGTCTTTAACCGAGGAAAATTAAAACCAAGCGAAGACGAAATAGTGCGGAAGAAAAGAGGATATAATTTCCTGGTAGCGAGAGCAGCTGAATGTGAACCATACGAGACCTGTGATGCGAGGAAAAAAACAGGGTTTAGAATTTCATCCGTGATTGTTAAAGATTGTGTTACAAATTAGGACCTGTATCTATGTGTGTGGGTGTAATTGGTCATGTTTACACAAATAGGTCTTGTCAGTTTAAGGGTATATTCACAGTCAGCTGGCGCACGCATGATAATAAAACAACTTGTCTCTTATTTAGTTTTATGTCGCATTCAAGATGGCGGCCCCCATACAGTACATATCGCATTTATTTTATTATCACGTGTGTGCCAGCTGACTGTGGGTATATTATAGTCGATGTAACACACGTTGTTGCAACAGAAACCACAGAAAAAAGTAGTATGAGGTCGCATATATAACAATATAAGCGAATATAATACTAACCTGTATGAGATTCCAATAGACTGTTGATTTGGCCATATGTTCTGTCACCTTTGATGTAAGGTCTCCTAGTAGCATGACCATTGGTTGTGGCCCACTCGTCACGAGGTTCACGAACTTCCTGATAGCCAAACCTTCGTTGTTCTGCAAATAATTATGGGAAAAATAATTCGTTTACATATCAATAGAGCAAATATAGGCACGCATTCAATGAAGGAAAATTTACAATAGTTTAATTCTGCGAAACATTGTCGTTGTCACACAGGTTTGACACCCGCCTGTGGCTCCTGCATATATGTTGTGAATTGTGTGATATATCGTTGTTTATATGCATGCGGCGGTGGTTTATTTCTTAAATAATGAATGTTAAACCAAGCAATTTTAGCTTCGGCTGCCTCATTTATCACCCGGTTGCCCACAGTACTCGGTCTACCAGAATGATATACCCGAATAAGACATGATTATTTGGCATCTTTCGCTCGTCACTCTACATAAGCGTTGAGAATGATGCTATTCAGTTTGTTTTTATCTGTGTGCAAGTGTACTTGGTCACAACAGCATTAAATAAGTAATTAAAAACCAAAAACACTATATTATAACGTTCATTGTACGCGTGTAATTACCAATATGTGTAATCAAAATTTATTGAGACATTCGCTCAATAAAACTCATTTGTATCACTAAAGCATACTACTCAATGGCGCGAAACGTGGAATAATGGCTTTTGGTTTTGTTTTAATAAACGCAATGCGTAGATACTGAATAGTATTAGCCTGTATCGTAACGTGTACATGTAGTCTGTTTACGGGGACCAAATGACGACACCCATCCCGTTCGGCTTGATGAGTAATTTCAAGTGTTCGGATTTTCGACCCCGTTATATAGAGAGTCGCAGACATATAACAGGCAGAGCAGAGTATCTCACCAAGATAAGACCTACCCAACAGACACCTCCGTCATAGTCGTTCTTTCTGAGTTTTTTTTTTCCCGCCGGAAAATATTTTTCTAGTATTTGTAGATATGGCTGTTGGCGCACACCCTCATTATTTTGTCGTTACGTGTTACAACTCAGAGAGAAGAGCTTAGATATATCAAAATTCGAACGCTATAATCGACGATAAAAGATGCATTGCTTTTGAAGTAATCAATAATACATCATTCCCCGCACAAAAGCGAGGAAAACGACATCATACGATCAAGCGACTCGGTGTTGATGTACAGCTTACATATTGTTAACATTTACCCAATCTGGGAATTGAGATTTAATATATAAAATTTCCCTTTCAATACCCGGAAAACTTTACTAGTAGTTGTTATCAGGAGATTTGGTTGCATATTTTTTTGTCAAGATTTAATAATTAATTATTTAATGTCATCTTATTTCGGGGGATATACATATTTATTATACACCTAGACACGCAACTTGTATTGAAATACGTTCTCTTGAATTACATCAGCCATAAGTTGTTAATAGCATTTGTTTTGGGTGCGACCGACGACAATTTATGAGAATGTTATTTTTATAGCTTGAAACTGTATCCGTATGGACACATTATTATTTAAACATTTATATATTCTGATTCGTAACTTTGCTAATGGATTATTGGAATAACGTCCTAACAGAGAGGCGCATCTAACGGAGACTGAGATGAGCATGTAACGGGACATTTCTATGTGCGACATATTAGCTCAAAACTGTATAACAACACGTTGACACGTATTCCCAGACTTTAGGGCATACAGAAGAGCACAGTGCATCAGATTAGTACAGTATAGTACATAGTACACGACTCAAGAGAGTAGAGCAGAATAGAACGCACAAAATATCAAGTTTTGTATTTTCCAAATATCTAAATGAAAACTCAAGTGGCTGAACAATTAACCCCAGAAGAATACAAATTTAATCGAATTTCTTGGTTGTGAGTATAAGTCAGTAGAATCTAAAATTACGAGCTAGGTTATAAAATCTATGGATAATTAAATATAAATGTAATAAATGTCTTGTTTCTTTCATATCTCATCAACAATTACGTAATGAAGTGTTCGATTCAGTATTTTAATTTAATATAGTCCATGTTTGAACATTGCGTGACGTCATTGCTGCGCGCGTTCCATTGGCACCGAGCCTACATAATCCTGAGGTTAACTTTGCTGTCGAATAAAACATAACATGTTTGCCCCAACAAAAGTTGATTTGCAGTTTTTAGCGACCCCAAGAGCTCATTGCAAGTCAAGCTTGACAATGAGCGCTTAGGGACGTTACAATTGTGTCTATCGCTCTCATGGTGGACACTATCATACTGACTAAATCTTAAAACCGAAAACTTGACGTTCCATGGTAGATGACACCCATTAAAGACATCGTTATAGGGCTGAGTACATGGCTCAAACCTATAGACTTTTATTGGGGGTATGACTTATGACTTTTTATCAACGTATAATTTCTGCACATTCAGCTTGACGAAGCATTTTATGGCGCTATCCTCATCATGTGCAATGCGCGAGGAGATGTCAAAACACAGAACTGAACAGCAAATGGCTTGATTTAGGCATATTTCAAAACCGATTAACTGTCGACACATATATTATACATTAAATTTATATTCACTGACAACACAGACAATACATAACAAACACAACGGTGCAATGCAGCCGAGAGCGCTGGCGAAACTTGTGACAAACAATAGGAAAGTCAAATAGTGAAAACATTTCGAACCAGTTATTACATAAATATTGACTCTTATCATGTTCCCTTCACAAGTTATTGGCGAAAATTCGGGAAGAATGTACCCAGTTTGGAGGTAGGCATTAGAAAATGTCGGTTAAACATTAGGAAATCTGATTGGCTGCCATTGTTATCATGATGAATACTAATGGTAGTTGTGGAACGCGAGCACATACTGACCTTAACCAAAGGTTCCCCAGGGTACAGTTGCTTATGCCTTCACAATGAGTATGTGGCGCACACAACTCCGGGCACAATTGCTTCTATAAGACTCCCCGCTGTGTCTGCAGTACACGCACTCTAGGTAAACTTAGTTTGAGCCTATCCATTGTGTCTGTACATACTAATACAAGGCAGTTTTGATTGTGTTCAACCCAGGATATGATTCGAACTCGAGTTTACCGATCGATAGAAAATAAAAGACATGCAATCTTTTGCACGATACAAAATACAGAACAAAGAAAAATACAAAAATGTACAGATAATTGCCCTGATCACACTTCTTCGGCCACAACTCGTGATCTCAAAAGGGCTTGACACCGACTCTACTTCCATAGTTGGCTCGCCTGCGGCTCAGATAACTTGCATATAACCCACTACTTAAAGTTCATTATTCAAAATATTTGTCCACGCAATATAGTTTGAACAAATCACGCTGAATATCCTTAATCCCGAGGACGATCGAACCACTATTATGGTTTTACAGTGCAGGGTAGGATGAGTAATCGAATACGTACGATATGAAGTACCATTATTACAATTTACAGTGAATACGACATGGAGTGCCACGTAATTCAACCTTTATGTCAACAATTTCAATGCAGAACATCTGTGATAATGTTATGTATTCCATATGTCACATAATACCATGTAATAAAAATACAGGCAATACGATCGGTTGATGCAAGCAAACAGTCGACGTTATGGCTGACTATTGCAAAATTAGCCAATATCTCAAGAGATTTGTGGTTTTACACAATATTCCTTGGGTTATTATTAGGAATTATATTAATTTGAATGTTTTTGGTAGTTTCAGATGTCGGCTATGCGTGTGTGAATATAAAGCCGTATTTACGTGAGACTCGTTTCAAATTCTCCCAACTTCGACTTCTCCGTGTGCATCAATTTGTTACACCCATGTTAAGTCACGGATTGTGAAACGGTCACTGTTAGAATTGACTTCCAAATCAGTAATTATGTTGCCAATACAACGGCAACATCGTGAACGTAGTGTTGTCTCCTAGGAAATAACCCAATTCCTTAATCCCACTAGGACACACTAACTGTAATCGGCGTTTATGCACGGATATCGGTTACGAAAATGATTTTTTTTAACAAACCTTTATTTATCATGACATTGTTCAATAACAAATTTCATGCTCTATATACAATTGCTAAAAATTACAATACAAATTGTTTGTTAAAGCGAATTACATCGTTTCTTATATAATTCAATATATATGAGCAAATAATGCTTTACATTATTGAATACACACTTAAAAACGATCTCCGCGTTAGTTTTTATCCTTTAGAAATTGCAACATGGATACATTGGATAAATAGGATATGAAATTTGCGACGCCACAACACCAGGCTCGGAATAACTGAAAATTACTACATTCGTTTAATAAATCTGATTCTGTAACTTATTCTGTAACAAATTTGATATTTTCTGTACAACAGCAGTTAATCCAGTCAAGGAGTGTGATTCACAGGGTCACGTTTTACAATCCAAATAAATAGGCGAAGTGACCACGACACATAATTGTCAAACCACTGATCATTATTTCCAATAATAATCAAAATTGAAGGTGTCAGTGCGATTTAATTATCGATAATCGCACGTCACCTGCTACCTTTGAGCAAGAGGGACCTGGCTTTATCGCTTTGTTGACGTCGTTTTATATATAATTATGATTACTGTATAACATGTTGAAAAAGCGGCATACAATTTTAGCGAATTGTAGTAAAATGACGTAATAGCGAAATGTTGATTTAGTGAATCTCTCTTGTCATTGTTGATTTCTTTGTTTGGCGGCCATTTTGAATTGAAGTCATTAGCGACATATTGAATTAGCGAATCAGTTCTCTCGCTAAATTCGCGAAAAAGCCATGTTTTACATTATCTTATGAGATGGAATTTGAAAAAATCTTCATCTCAGACATACATGTTTCCACGTCTAACATGCTTAGATTACGATGAGGTACCTCCGATTGCTATTGATAGAAAAGAATATATTCTCTCTATTGAGCGATGAATTTCAAATCTGTATTAATAAGCGTAATCAGGAGAACGAGGTTTCTACTAGTAAACGGGGGTTATGACGAACGTTTTACATGTCCCTGCACAATGCTATCGATTCACACGTCGATCTATTCCATTACTGCAAAGCGTAAGAATAAACACCGCTCTGCAAAC